TTAACTGGTCCGGAGTGGCTGAACCCCGAGGGGCCGAGGTCGACCGATGAGGGACCCAGGTCTACCGATGAGGGACCGGGTCGACCAATGAGGGACCAGGTCGACCAATGAGGGACCCAGGTCTACCGATGAGGGACCGGGTCGCCCAATGAGGGACCGGGTCTACCGACGAAGAGCCGAGGTCGACCGATGAGGGACCCAGGTCTACCGATGAGGGACCTGTTCGACCAATGATGGACCGGGTCGACCAATGAGGGCCATGGTCGACTCCCTTCGGTACCGGTTAAACGTTACCCTGGTAATGACCTCTCCTTTGTTTGTCTTTCACGTTCTCAGCCAACGGTCGCTTCACTCCGAGGTTCCCTTTATCTCCGGTCCGTTCTCTCTGGTGCGTGGTCCCTTCTCCATAGTCCACGGCCCCTTGTCCCTTCAATCCAACTGGCCCCTGGGTTCTTCACAATTTAATAAACCACTTCACCACAGCCGCCCCTTGCACTTGCTCAGCCGTACAGCGTCTTGAGCACGCGCATGTGTTCCCTCGTCAATCACGTAGGGTTTTCTGCTTGCTCTTTCTTAGGTAGTCCGTGGCCAACTTGGGTCACTCCAGCTTGGTTTCAGTCTTCGATACATTGAGCTGAATTCTTGAAGGACCCAGGTCTACCAACGAGGGACCGGGTCTACCGACGAGGGGCCAAGGTCGACCGAAGAGGGACCCAGGTCTACCGATGAGGGACCGGGTCTACCGACGAGGGGTCGAGGTCGACCGGCGAGGGATCATAGCCAACCATCCAAAGAGATTTCTATTGGCTGAAAATTCAACCAATCAGAAATTTGGAATTTTGTTGGTCGTCCATGCGTCACCGTTTCGTGAGCTCGCTGTTCCTGCTTCGCGCCCCTGGTCTTTCTCCTGCTACACTCCCGTTAGGTGTGCCCGCGGTACTTGACGTTAATTCAAAAATCTTGCCATCGCTGCGTCGAAGAGGGTCTGCAGATCGCCTACCGGGTAGGTAGGCCCTTTCCCCCCAGCATCTTCGTCACGGGGCAGAGCAAATTCCAACTTTTTTCCTTGCTGATTCCTCATTGGCTGAAAATCGGAATGATTTTCATTCTTGCCACGCGTCGCCGTTTCAAGACCACTTGGCTCCTGCTCCGCGCTGCGCGCTCGGGCCTGGAGCAGCGCCGCCCCAGTTGGGCCTAGGGGCATCCTAGTGACCAACCCAGTCGAGGACGATCCTGGTGACCATGGAGCTGCTGCTGTCTCGGCAGGTGATGCGATGGACATTGCTTCGCCCCTAGGTGGACAGCGGCTCCATACATATGAGGGTAGATCGCGATGTCTTGAATCGTCATCTGGCTGTCCCTGGGCCGTGATCGTGTGTTTGTCGTCAGAGGTAGGTGTTCCTTTGCTGGCGTGGTACTGACGAGGGGCGACAGACGTTTCTGTATATTCTCTAACGTCGTTTGTGACTCTGTCGAATCCCAGGGAAAGCAGGTCGTCCGGATCAAAACGTCCTGCAGCCATGGTCGCTTCTCGAAGAAGGGTGACCAGCGCAGTGATCGCGTCTGTGACGGCCTGCAGCCGTGGTAGGGTCAGCACCGAGCCAGTGAGCTGTCCAAGCAGCTGAATCTAGAGATTCTTCGCGACGGGGTCGCTCTTCAAGAATGCTTCTAGCTTGCGTGGGCAGTAGACCTTTGTGACATCAGCGTCTGTCCATGACGGCAGTCCTGACTTCTCGGGGCCTATCGACTTCGTGTTTCCGGGCGCCTTCATCCAGAACTTTGTCGGCTTGGACTGCGCGATCTTGTTTTGTTGTTTTTTTCGGGTACCTTAGCCTCTCGGTTTTCACCGTCGGCTAATGGTCCTCTGGATCATGATAGGAGTCATGACCCAAGGTGTCCTCTACAAGGACATAGGGAGGGTATTTAGGTTTATCTTCAATGAATTCAACCTCGACCATGTTGACCAGGCCCCTCCCAAGGTCCGGTAGGTCCTTCGATCCTTTGTTTTTTCTTCTTAAGTCACTGGCGATCGGTCTTCCAGTGGCTTCTCGGTCTTGTGCTCCTTCTTGACTTAAACATCTTTATCGTCTTGGGACTCACGGTAAAATCCCGCGTCTTCCAAAGATCCGGGCACGCGCACCATTGTGGTGGAGTGGGTTCTCAAAATTGTATGATGAGACCCCAAACCACTCACTGTGCTGGACTGCCGACTGTCGGAGGGGGTACCCCGATGCCGTGTATGAACCTTCTCTCACCTTGTGTACCCGTCGGCTGGCGGGTTGCACTCTTCGGAGGACTTGGTGACGATGTAGATGTCTGCCTTGAGGGAGGTAGACCTGGGGGGCCTCGAGTGGATATGCTTCACTTGGTGGGCCGGTAGGTGGCCACTCGATCGACCTTGTCGAGAGTGGACTTAGAGCCAAATTCTTCAGGGGCTCTTGTCGTCCCTGGCCTTTTCCTTCTGTTTCAGGGGTATAAACCACCTGACCTTTACTTTGTTCCCCGACCGTGAGGTAAGGGAGACCGCTTCCGATAGCGGGTCTTGGGGGTGTTGCTACTCGAACGAGCTCACAGGCCAAATATATCCTGGAGCTCTATTCGCACTTGAACTTCGCTACACAACTGTCTTCAACGGGGGGGGGGGGGGGGGTCCAAATATATCCCTTCCCGGAACAGTGAGTAGCTTAGAGCAAGTTCTTCTTGGGTGACGGAGTCGTGCCACGTGGGGTTCAACTCGCACTTGTGTCGGACCACACGCCTGTCTTCAACGGGGGGGGGCCAAATATATCCCTTCCCCGGAACAGGCGTGTGGCCAGAATAGAGTTCCTTTACAGCGCGACGAAGACTTGCCAAGTAGATCGCAAATTGAGTAGTATTTAATATAGTCCTATCCTTTTAACTCCTTTACTCTATCCTTTCCTGAGCTCTGATTCCTTGCGTCGACTGGTATGATCCTTGTATTAACTGGTCAGGAGGCTGAACCCCGAGGGGCCGAGGTCGACCAATGAGGAACCCATGTCTATCAGCGAGGGACCGGGTCGACCAATGAGGGACCCAGGTCGACCAATGAGGGACCCAGGTCTACCAGCGAGGTACCGGATCGACCAATGAGGGACCCGGGTCGACCAACGAAGAACCGGGTCGACCAATGAGGGACCCAGGTCTACCGATGAGGGACCAGGTCGACCGACGAGGGACCGGGTCGACCAATGAGGGACCGGGTCGACCGATGAGGGACTGGGTCTACCGACGAGAGGCCGAGGTCGACCGATGAGGGACCCAGGTCTACCGATGAGGGACCTGTTCGACCAATGATGGACCGGGTCGACCAATGAGGGCCATGGTCGACTCCCTTCGGTACCGGTTAAACGTTACCCTGGTAATGACCTCTCCATTGATTGTCTTTCAAATTCTCAGCCAACGGTCGCTTCACTCCGAGGTTCCCTTTATCTCCGGTCCGTTCTCTCTGGTGCGTGGTCCCTTCTCCATAGTCCACGGCCCCTTGTCCCTTCAATCCAACTGGCCCCTGGGTTCTTCACAATTTAGGAAACCACTTCACCACATAGACGGGCACTTCTACGAAGTTGCCTCGTGCTACTTAGCACACACCTTCAGCACAAGCGAGTGAGCGGTTAGACCGTCTTACCTTCGCGTGCGAGGGTGGTTGTGTGGTAGTTTGACTGCTTAAGCAGTCGTACCACCAGTTGCCTCTCGCTTAAGCGAGAGTGCAACAAACAACTAACAAGTGTCCTATTTACGTCGCGCAGAAGCTTTTTCAGATTCTCGTGCGCAGTAGGCAGTATGTTGTACATTCAAGACTGAGTTATATTTAATAGAATTTAACTAAATATATACTTAACTACTGATTGGCTATATATACAAAGATCGGGTATGCGACTCTTTAGAAGCGTATCCTGACGCAAGAGCTTAGAAGTAGATTTAAGATCGCTAATGACGTCCTTCTGAGACGTCGCGATGCCTAACTTCAACTAGCGTCATACCTTCTCATGTGAATCCATAAATGGATATCACATTCACGAGGGTGGATCACATCTGTGTATCGCACCCAAGTGACAGGTCAAAAGTAATCATGGATACTTTTAGACCAAACATTAAGTATATTACTTATTGTTCACGTGCAACTAGATGCCCTGTTACAAAATCGGTGATTTTGACTCTCCATCCTCACAGAAAGTCAGTCTTAAGACTTAGGTGTAGAATAGACACCAATTGTAGTGGAGCTACACAGCTCTTTACCCAGAGGAAGACTTTAGGCTGAAAGCCTCTTAGTTCTAGAGAACTAAATAAATTTACGGCGAAAAGCCACTTAGTTCTAAAAAAACTTATTAAAGGACTTAAAAGCCACCCTGTTGTAAGGAACCAGGAGAAAGACTTAAGTCTACAAGCAATAAGCTTAAGGTTCAGAGAGCCAACGCACGAAGTGCACAAGAGAACAAATCACAACGACTTGCGATCTTAAACTCAAAATGAGAACTGATTTTATTTATGCTTTAAGATTTTATGAATAGTCCTACTTTAAGTACCCTACACTAGATTAATTACCACAATAATAATTATAATATGCATACTTTGCTATTGGACGACGTATATCTGTGCATTATGTACTTAGTACAGCGTTCTCGATTATTACCGACCATCCCGGATTCCCTTTGGAGGATCTTCCATGCTCCAAAAGATTCCTACAACCCCAACACCCACTCCCACAATTATGTCGTGGAAGTGATGGTCGTGGTTGTAGGAGTGGGTGTTGTGGGAGTCGGCGTTATAGGAGTAGGTGCTATGGGAGTAGGAGTAAAAATTGAGGGGAGATGTGGGTAATGAGTGATGGAATGCGCAGCAATTTCATGGCTAACGACATGCTACATCTAACAACGTCACTTTGGAATTTTCACTAAACGACACGGGCTCAACAGAAACAGAAACCGAAAACGGACTCTTGCTTATCTTGTTTTTAACCCTTCTAAATCAGAGATTTCATAATGAAGGCAATAAGGTCATTTTTTACAAAAACACCAGCAGCGACGTCCCGGTCTGAGGACCCTGACTCACCGTTCATACGCCCGCCAACTGTTTCCTGGATATTACAACATCGCGCCGAGCTGCAAAACCAAAAGCCATCGACAAGAGGCAGGACGCCCTTGGCATCACTCTATCGCATTTGCGAGTACTTTGTGGTTGGCGACACCGCCGGAATACGGGCTGAAGTCGAGTTCTTCTTCAATCAGCCGTCGTGGGCACTCAACAAGATTCCTGACCCAGAGGACCCCGATCCTGAACGGTATGCTGTATTGGCTGTGCTCCCATACTACATGGCCCAAGCATTCAAACGGCTCATCGAACGAGGACTTCCAAGGGACAGTCCAGCAATAATTATGGGTGACGCTGCGGAGGCAGAGCTGAGAAGCAAGGCGGTGGTGCTTGAGAAGGAGCCGGAATGGGTTTCGCATGTACCAAAGCTGAAGAAGACGTTAATGATCCCTGATTGCGACGGCAACGCGCCTGCGGAGGATGCGAGGAGTGACAAATTTATGGATATGAATATCATCGCAGAAGCACCGTACATTCTGTTCGTCTAAGCAGGGCGTCTACTATATAGCGCAGAAATTTTTGGCATCTGTCATAGGAATCTAAGTAGCAGACAAATAGTTAGATTGGACTTCCTATTCACAAGAGCTAGATAGCTCCATGTTTACAATCTCAATTTACGATGGCATCATTGAGGCGATGCAGCGCAGATTACTTTGTTCGGGCCTGAAAAATAATGCGCTGCAGTTGAACAATATAGAATTTACAGGATGTCCAGATACTTAATTATAGTATCGATACAGGTGGAGGCCTTGTCTTTACTGATGAATTTGTCTCAGCGCCGACACGCCAATTTTTTGTCTTTTGCAATGTTGCTAGATAGTGATTTCTATAGAAAGACGCCGCTTGCTACCTGGTCACAAATCGAATCTTTGTGTCAAGCTTGTCTCAACTGATTCTTTAGAAACAACTCTAGCGACCTTTTGAGCCTGCAGCCAAGGTGCCGCACTGAATGCGCAAATGACTCCCACGTTTGGCCAACAGTCTGGTGGGCTGGACGTGATCCTCCAACGGCCGCGCCCAAGCATTCTGGAGCATTTGCGACGCAACCCCTACGTATTCTTATCAAGAATCATCTACGAGAGGTGGCTGGACCGTGCCGCGTCTGCTCAACCACCTTCAGACGCTGTGTCGGTCGTTTGCGTCTCGGATACCCACAACAGCCAGCCCGCGCTCCCTGATGGAGATATACTCATTCACGCGGGGGACCTGACACAGTCAGGCACTTTTAAGGAGATGCAGGCCGCGCTTGACTGGCTCAAGGGCCAACCACACCGGCACAAGATCGTAATAGCGGGCAACCACGATCTGTTGCTAGATCAGTCCTTGGATAATGGGCCCAGGAGATCGAACGCGAAGGACGCGATGGCGGAGCGCGCAGGACTCGACTGGGGAGACTTGAAATATCTTCAGGATTCCACCGCAGAAATAGAGTGTCGCAATGGCCGGCGACTTCGCGTCTACGGAAGCCCACAATCCTGCCGGCACGGTAATTGGGCTTTCCAGTATCTAAGATCAGAGGGCGAGGCGCAGTGGTCCAATATGGTGCCCGACGTCATTGATATCCTTGTCACCCACGGCCCACCGCGGGCACACCTCGACATCCTCAAGATCGGCTGTGTCGGCTTGCTCAAGGAACTGTGGAGAGTTCAGCCGGCACTGCATGTGTTTGGTCATGTACACGAGGGCTATGGAAAGGAGTGGGTGGGTTTTGATGCCGTCCAGGAGGCATATGAGCGGGTTATTCTTGCTGATGGGGGCTTGTGGAATCTCTTCTGCCTATTTGGAGTGTTCTTACGTTGTCAGCTTCAGCCGTCACGAGTGTTCAAATGCCTGCTCGTGAATCCCTCCGCTGTTGGAGGACTGCGGGATGAAAAGAGAATAGATCCGATCAAAGTCTTAATATAAGGACAGTTACTTCTTTTCTTCATACCGGTCGCCGAGATGGTGCTGCCGGTGGATAGCATCTCTAGGTCAGCAAAACATTTTTCCATGCCACCCATCATGAGTTTTCGTAACGCATGATACAACCTTTTGTCAGATAACCATGCCGGAAACCGGCAGATAGCCCCTGCCAGATGCAATCTTTTGACAATTGCTGTTATTTTGGTGACATGATAGAACGTAGTAAACGATATCAGGACCGTTGGTCCGCGGCTCGCGGCAATCGTGACAAGGTGATAGTTGCAACAAAAGGCGATTCTAACGTATGCACTCGGACTGGTTGTATATCGAGCCATGGGTACCATGTGAGGCCAATCAAGCCTGAATTCGCATCAAGGATGTTATAACATGTCTTGAGGAAGAGCATTGTTGTTTATGTGATTTGAGTCTGGATGCCGGCTGATAGAAGTTACATGACTATCTAAGTATCTTTGACAAAGGAGGAAATTTGTTGCATTTAATCGACATCTGAATACAATTTAGCTACACCAACACAAATACTTTTGAATATTGTACTGATGCCCATATGGAAGCATAATCAGTTGGTGCTCCGCATCCCCTCGGGGTGCCATTCATGAGCATTTGCAGGTCTTAAATCGCACAAGCCTCCGGATTGTGGATTGACTCATCAGTCTGGGACTGTCCACCACGGCAGGAAATGTTAAGCAAGGAGCCGCATCCTGATATAATTGGATGTTAGCAGGTCACGCATCATAGGTGAAGCAAACAAAACCACGGTGTGCAGGGCGTAAAGAGGCGCGTGCTGTGCGAACCACGGGCTAGAAAGACGGAGCCGTTTATAGTGAATACGGCGAGAAGATCTAACCCACACGCCACAGCTGCTGTCACCCTTTCTCCCATATCCTTCCAGCCGTTTATTGAGATCTGCCCAGGACGCGGGCCTCGGTGGACAGCTTGCATGTAATTTTGCCCGATCGCCTGGACTGGACGGACACTAAGAAATTAATGAATTAAGCGTACGCAGCTTGCAGGGACAAAGAACATGACTCTCGTTAGCCACCCCTCCTTGCCATCCTCATCACACCCGCATCTTTTGCACACATCTTTCCCTGCTTCCTTCGGCTGCTTCGTTTCTAGACGGCCTGCCTTGCCATTGTAACAGGGTATCTAGTTGCACGTGAACAATAAGTAATATACTTAATGTTTGGTCTAAAAGTATCCATGATTACTTTTGACCTGTCACTTGGGTGCGATACACAGATGTGATCCACCCTCGTGAATGTGATATCCATTTATGGATTCACATGAGAAGGGATGACGCTAGTTGAAGTTAGGCATCGCGACGTCTCAGAAGGACGTCAGTTGCGATCTAAAATCTAGATTTAAGATCATGCGACAGGATACGCTTCTAACGAGTCGCGTATCCGATCTATATATATATATATATATGCCAATCAGTAGTTAAGTATATATTTAGTTATAATTAATTAAATATAGCTCAGTCTTGAATTTGCTAACACCAAAGCACCACGCACGAGAAGCTGAAAAAGCTTCTACGTGACGTCGGTGTCTTTTTGCCTTAGAAGTTCGTTGCACTCTCGCTTAAGCGAGAGGCAACTGGTGGTACGACTGCTTAAGCAGTCGACCAACCACACAACCACCCTCGAACGCGAAGGTAAGACGGTATAACCGCTTCCTCGCTTGTGCATAAGGTGTGTGCTCGTAGTACGAGGCAACTTCGTAGAAGTGCATGTCTACACTTGGTAGCACTAGTAGTCCTTCCCCCACGACCCGTCTCTCTGAGCGTGCGTGCGGTTAAGATGGTCCTTAATATGGACTGGAGTGAATTCTCTCACCTCATCCAACATCATAGGGAGTTGGCAGAGCATTTGGCGCAGGGACTTGGTGAGAAAGCCCTGGTCAATCTCTTGCATTGTCCTCCTGAGCAACATGTTGCTCAGTTGGAGCAATTCGAGGCGTTTGTGCTCGGACAGCGTAGAAACGCGTCCGAGGTAAACAGCCAAACCACCGCTGAGTCCATTACTAAGACTCAGGATGAGCTTAGGCTTGAGCAGGCACGTAATGAGGCGCTCAACAGAACTGTTAAGACGCTCTCTGCCCGACCTGCTCAACCGAGGCCCATTCGAATGGACCCTCCGAAGTTCGATGGAACTAGCCCTCACACGATTGTTTACTGGCTATTAGCAGTGGAGCAATGTGGAGTGGCGCAGCTTATCGAAGACGACACCAGGATGGTATGTCCAACTTGCGTGGCAAAGCTTCAGAGTGGGCATACTCTGCGCTGATGGCAAATGCTGATGCGTTTCCATCATGGTCGATCTTTAAGGCAAAGATTCGCGCCATGTACCAGCCGCCTAACAACGAAGTGATGCTTATGGCGCGCTTCTTTGGAGCACGACAGGCGAAACGATCTCTGCAAGAGTTTGTGCAGGAGATGCGTTCGCTGTCGGCGTCCATCAATGGGGAACCGATACCAGAGCGTATCAAGGTAGCCACGTTCATGAATGGACTTAGGCATGGCCCATCGCGTCAGGCCCTTTTCAGAAAGGTGCCAGCGACGATGGAAGAGGCAATTGACATTGCCTTAGTTGAGGAGCAATCCTACAACAGCGCCTCGGCGACAGCCTATTACAGGCCGTCGTCCGAGAAGTCTGATGCCACTCCTATGAAGTTAGGCAATGCAGATTTGATCTGCTACAAGTGCGGCAAACGAGGCCATATGATGGCTCGCTGCTATGCCAAGGTAGCTGCTGGTGCTAAGGCAGCCAGCAAAAGGTCTCCCAACCCGAAGGGAGGTGCGAAAAACCAGCGTGCACGATGCACGGGTTCAGCACCTGCCCAAGATGGGTCGGGAAATGCGGGAGCGCAGTAGGGGCGGGATGCCCTACTGTCGCGGACTCTGAAGCTACCCCTAAGTTCAGAGTGATCGAACAAATGGGTAGCATAGTCCCTGAGGTTCCGAAAGGTCGGACCTCAACCCCTTTGGTCTATAGCGCTCCAGTACGAGGCTATGACCAAGTGATGACCCTTCTCGTGGATTCGGGTGCATCACAAAACTTTGTGAAACTCGCGGCTCTGAAAAAGAGACCGGGAAGTTATGAGTCGCTTTGCCAGGATAACAAGCGAGAAGAGGCGACCGTTCGTTTAGCGAACGGCGCGCTCGTTAAATCGTAGGGAGTTCAAGTTAAACTCGCCTTCCGTTTCAGTGACTTCTCTTGTAAAGAGAAGTTCACAGTGCTAGGTATGGAGAGTCCGTATGACCTCATCCTAGGCATGCCTTGGTTGGCTAAACACCAACCATGGATAGACTGGCGTACACGCACAGTCGCTAGCTCTACGCAAGACACAGGAAAGGATGTGCTATTGCGAGAGGCTTATGTGGCTGATGCTGTGTCCAACACAGTCGAGGGTGCGATGACGGTATGTCAATCGACACCAGGAACTACCCAGCTCGAAAAGAGTGGTGTAGTTGGAAGTGCACTGGCGGAAAGCCAGGTGACACATATTCCTACCCAGGTCGAAAAGACTGGTGTAGTGAATGGGGCGATGACAGATAGTTATGCGT